AGAAATTCTGGACCGTAGTGCGGAATGCACTTACTGGATTGGATCCCGCGACCGGGTGAAATCTCAATTTGTTTTGTACGATAAATCCACCGTGGGTAACGTGGAGGGTTCGAACGGCAAAAGCGTCGGCGTGATCCTCCCGCAATCGGTTGTCATGGGCACAATTACCCGCCGGGCCGTAGAGGCAACATGGATGACGGCTTCCAACGCTAAAAAGAAACGAATTGGATCGGAACTGAAGAGCCTGATCCAGGCCCCTAAAGGTTACAAATTTGTTGGGGCGGACGTGGACAGTGAAGAGTTGTGGATTGCATCATTGTTGGGTGATTCGCAGTTTGGATTACATGGCGCAACTGCGATTGGGTTTATGACCCTGCAAGGTTCGAAGTCTGCCGGCACCGACTTGCATACTGTGACCGGAAACATCGTGGGCATCAGTAGAGACCACGCAAAGGTGTTCAATTACAGTCGCATTTACGGGGCTGGCGTGCATCATGCGGTCCAGCTGCTGGTTCAGTACAATCCGGGCCTGGATAGGTCCGTCGCCCTCACAAAAGCGACCAAACTTTACGAGAAAACAAAGGGGCAGAGGGCGAGGTTTGGCGATGAGAAGGGTTTAAAATGGTTGAGTAAAACTAGACTATTCTCAAGGTTCTGGTATGGAGGATCAGAAAGTTTCATGTTCAACAAGCTTGAAGAAATTGCAAATGCCGATAATCCCCGCACACCGGTGTTGCACTGCGGGATACCGAACTCTTTGCTTCCCAAGCATTGCAAAGGAGACGTGAGTGTTTTCATTCTGCTACTCACAACTACGGTTAAATTTGTTGACCGGGAACCCTTCGGACATCCAGTTTGTAACTAGTCGGGTAAACTGGGTGGTGCAATCATCTGGGGCCGACTACCTTCACCTCCTTCTGGTGTCGATGAATTATTTGATTCGTCGGATGGGAATCCAAGCTCGCTTCTTGCTCAGTATTCACGACGAAATTCGATACATCGTGAAAGAGGAACATCAGTATCTCGCCGCGTACGCGTTGCAGATCAGCAATTTGTGGGTCAGAGCTGCATTTGCCAAGAGCGTTGGAATCGAGGATCTACCTTTGGTAAGTAAGTGAAGTAGAACTCCCAGAGGTCAGGTTGACTGATCAATTCATCATCTTCCAGAACGTTGCTTTTTTTTCATCGGTGGACATTGATCACTGCCTGCGCAAGGAAGTGGACATGGATTGCATCACCGCGTCTAATCTCATCCCCGTTCCACGGGGCGAAGGAGTTGACGTGCAAAAGCTCCTCGACAAAATCGCGGAGTGGAAACAAAATAACGGGAGGAACACGGTATTTCTTCCCGAGCTCTCTTCAGTAACCGCAACTGCGAATCATGCAGCCGCCTCCCCGGTTCTTGACATGTTAAATCAGTCGGAGCGGGACCCAGTAGAGATGCAGATGGGCAAAGTGCAGAACTATTATTTGGAAGCTCAGATGGCGTATTCCGATGAGGAGGTTAACACGATCAGAGACTGCGTGAGGCGATTGATCGGACGGAGTGCCGGTCCAAATAAGGTGGTTCTCTCGAAAATCAAAAAAATTCTCGAAGCGCCAGAAGCGGCTGGGAGCGATTCTAAACGATCGAAGAAACTCAGAAAGCAGGTGGTAGCGCCAGTCAATGGTGGCAGCATCAGTCGCTCGCAGCAAGGGGCAAACGGTGCTGAAAACACATCGGCTGAAATCCAAAACGGGGACCAACGAAAAGCCAGGAAAAGTCATTTGCAAACGCCAGAACAGCCGAGAAACTGGGAAATGGTTACGAATGGTCCTAGGCCAAAAGTTGGCTCGGATTGTTTCAAGGAAGGACAAGTTGTTGCCGGTGAGTGCAACGGAAACCCTATTCCTCAAGGTTTCGGCGAACTGAAGCGAATTTTGTTGCGCCCAATAGTAATTCCCTATAAATCGTCGGGCCGGCTGTCGTCGTGACCATGTGACGCGACTTGCCCCCTGAACATGATACCCGCACTCTGTTTACCCCAACCGATTCATCAGCTCTGGTGACGACACAAGTTCATCCCCAACTTGCTCTCGTCGAAAATGCAAAACTTTGCTATTCATTGATGTTTTTAATGTTTTTGTGAATTTAAATTTGATTAAGGATTTGCAGCAAAAGCTGGATTACTTCGGTTACTTTTATTCATTAATAACCTTTATCATTGCGATCCCCTACATTCCGCCAGCAAGAGCGAAGAGACTACGATCGTACCCATGCCCAATCAACGCTCCATGCTCGTGACCCTATTACCAATGCAAGAGGATTTCTGAAGCTACGCAGAAGCCATCCGAGTGTCCTTTTAAAACATCTTGGTGTTCTTCGAATTACACGGGGAAGGCGTGGCTGGTGTTGCCCTTACATAATACGCGTTCTTGGAAATGATCATCACCAGAAAACGGCTGTCGGACATGGCCACAGCGCGTTCGAGTCCATTGGCAAAAGTTTTTGCACAAGCACTATTTACAAATTGACGACCGGGATACCTATTTTTCCTGGCCGGGACAAGGTATTGCACCGTATTGTCTGCAGCTATATAATGTTTGTCGTTTATTTTGTGACAAACGGATTTCAGTTCTCACGTAGGCTTTTCAAAGCGACCTGGCCTCCATTCCCTCAACATGGACGCGCAACAAGATAAATTGTCAAAGGAAGCCAGGGCTTTGAGGCAAAGGGTGGAAGTGCTGGAGAAGGTGTGGAAGAAGTATGCGTGAAGTTGATTACCGAAGTGCCCGATTCCCCCACTAACGGCCGGCCACAGGAGAATATGGCCCTAAAAAAATCATTATATGAGCTTTCAGCTCGCTACAATATGATGGCCCACAAAGTACTACCTTTCACGATTGACTCGTTAGAAGCATTAGAACCGCCAGACGCCCTCTCGCCGTCGGATGTTGGGGTGAAGACCGGAGGACCTGACCAGCAGGATGTGTTTGGTATGAACCATATGCCTAGGCGGGACGTGTACTGAATACAAGGCTGAAGGCGAATCTGCAGGGGATGTTACTCGGGATAAGCACAAGGATCGGAGAAACTTCCACTTGAAGCACGAACTGAAGGTAAGGGAATTGTCTGGCACTTGTAAGCGTGCCCCATTATGGTCTCCTCATCAATGCATGACCCACAGGCTCACAGCGGAGCGGTCTACGCCATTCAATTTTCTCCATGTGCAAAATTTTTGGCGTCTGGATCCTTTGATAAGACTGTGCGAGTGTGGGATGCAACAGGGACACAAAAAGAGGTAAAGCGGCCCTTTTTTTGGATTATCAGTTTTCGCTCAACGTAATTCATTTTTCACGTCCTTAGCTTCACTGCTTCAAAAAGCACAACTTGAATGTTTCCGATTTGTCTTGGTCGCATGACTCGTTAGAGCTCCTGTCCGGAGCATATGATCAGACATGCAAGATATGGGATGTGGAAGCTGGGAAACTGGTGGATTCATTTGACAGTGAAGGATTTGTCCAGTGCGTTCGCTTCAGTCCGCAAGGTGAGGCCCCCGACGGTGGTGGAAAGCATGCCTAGGCAGCATTATACTGATCGTTGGCCTGTAGATCGCAATATCTTCTTCAACGGTACATCACGGAACGTGCTGTCGATGGTTGATAGGCGCAAGCCGGAGAATGCATTGCTGATGCGGAATGATTCAATGGTGAATTCATTGTACGTGTGTCATGAATTGCCTTCGAGGGCATCGAGTTCTACCGTGACGAAGGATCCCATAACTCAAATGGGTTCCGGTTTTGCAGATACGTTTATCAGGATGGCATGTATGTTATTTCTGCGGATGCGGCTGGGCATCTGAAGACCTGGGATGTGCGAACAGGTTGGTCCCTAACCAACGAGATTGTGCACTGAGCTTCGCGCAGTTGTAACCGAAAGCGTCGATGTGAGCAGGAAAATACATTCAGGCATTTGTGAATGAGCCAACAAAGAAACCGATATCCCACCTTGCAGTCTGTCATATCGGCGCGGGTAAGTGGTTTCCTTCCCATTCATTGATGAGTACTTTCTAACCCAGGCTTTTGCAAGCAGATGAAGAACCACGTTACATGGCTGTAAATAGTTATGACAATGGTTCGTAATGTGCTTGAAACACCAGTTAAAATTCACTTAGCATATGGGATCTCATCGCCTGATGCATTTTAGTGATGAGAGTTTACGATCGCGGGTTTTCACCACCGCAAACGACGTGCCGGCTCGTTCACGCATTAAAAGGCTACAAAAACAAGAACTGGCCGATCAAAAGCTCGTTCTACCATGCAAAAGACGGTGGGTACTTGTGAATGCGATTACATTTTTGCTTACGATTCAGAGTTAATAATTGGGTTTTCTTGCTGCCAGGCACAAGCATGAAACGAACAACCAGTCATGACCAAATGTACGCCAAAGACGAGCTCCAGGCCGATGATGCGGACAAAAACACGTAAGTGTTGGCCAACTCAGAAGCAATGACAGGGCTCAATCAACCGTTAGCGGACGGTATTAACTGACGACGCGCACTTGTTAGCTTCGAGAAGGACAAATCACTTGAGTCAAGTATTCTGCTCGCAACAGGGAGCGCGGATCCATTTGTATATTTATATAGTGTGGGGGGACCAGAGGTACGAGCGCAAATACCGTTTTCTCCTGAATCCATCTGATTTGCTGCTGAATTGAATACGCTTCAGGGGACGGGCGAACTTATCCAGCGATTGGAAGGTCATACAGACCGTGTATATGCAGTTGATTTTCACCCTGTGGAACCGATATTGGCGTCATGTTCTGCGGATTTTACCATAAAAGTGTGGTATTCAAATGGAAGAAAGAAGAAAACATGATCAATAAGGGTCCTTTGTGCTTTTGATGTTTTCATGAAAGCAGCATTTTTTCCAGCCTTTCATCCGGTTACCAACTTCGAGCAGCTCTGTAGTCCACGAGCCTTTCCATTCTGGAGTAGTGTGGGGACCCGCCATTTAACGAAGTCGGTGTAGTATAGTGGTAGTACGCCGCGTTGTGGAGTTTCCAAGCAACACAAATCCGCGTTGACGCTGGTTCGATTCCAGCCACCGACAATTTAGAGAAATATAGTACGGTAAAATGTTTTTTACGATTTTTCTGGTTGCTGTCCCTCTGGTTGCTGTCCCTCTGTCAGCCAACTTTTGCACACATATAGATAGACTAAGAGCATCATCGTCATCATCATATATTGATGTTCTCCCAAGGCTGAGCTTTTCAATTTTTGTTTTCATCTAAAAATAACAATTCATTTTAAATCGCTAAGACTTGGCCCAGATCCCCCTTCCTATCACTAAATACTCCACCATCCCATCATTTACAATTTCCCGTTCTTTTCATTTTAGCGAAACCCACAAATACACAGCGCCCCGAATTATACACGTCCGGTAATGAGGCCGACACGTTCTACACTCCCTGGCACCTCCTCCACGAACTCCTCAAAATACCCTTCATCCCCCTTTGAGCTGGCGACGCTCCGGACATCGCTCTCGTATCCCAGCCCCATTCCGATCCGCGCCTTGTGCATCCCCAGGTTGAGGTTGAACGCCTGTCCTGACACCGCCGCATCGTACGCGGGCGGCGGTGGCGAGGCAAGCGGCAAATCTCTTGGTAACGCTATTGATACCTCCTGGTCGTGGTAAGCGGCGGCTGGTGATGATGTTGGGAGGACAGGGCGAGAGAGTTGGGGTTTGGCGGCGACTTTGTAGTCCAGACTGTCGGTGAACAAGTGCGAGACTTGAGCGTGGAATTGAGGCATGACGTAGAAGAGGAAACCTGCGACGGGAATGGTGAACCAGTCCAACAGGTTGCGAGGGTACTCGCGGGGCGAGGAGAGCTGGGCACGCTTGCCGAGGTAGTGAACTTTGAGGTGGGCGTGAGCGGGAGAGATGATGAATGCGTCGCTTGAACGGAGCTCCTGGGGTTGCCCTGATGAGGTGGTGGTGCCGGAGATGTTGGCAACCTCCGAAAGGGACTTGGCAGAGTCGACGCGTTTGCCGTCCAACGCCTTGTGTTGGTGCTGGAGTCGGTTGTACGTCTGGGTGGGCTGCTTTTCGGCGAGGGCCCACCGTTCAAATCCGACCCATTGGTGGTACTTTTCGTAGTACCAGATCATAATAACGTTTGGCACGATGATGGACATGCGGACCCAGAAGGAAACGTTCAAAGCGAACTCGACGTATGGGTGAACGGGTTCGTCGGACAAGATACCCCAAAAGTACGTAGCGAGGGCGTACGAGAAAGACGAGCGGAGCGGGAGGATCAAAGTCGAAGTGATGATAAGGGTGAAAAGGTGGCCCATGAGGATGTGGGATTCGAGGATACGGTGCATCAGCTCGGCCAGGACACGCAATCTGTAGTTGGTCTTGCGTTCCTCCTTTCCGGACTTCGTGACGCTGGTATTTCTGAGTGCAACGGTTGGCTCGGTAGTGTCGGCGTTGGGCGCAAAGAGACCCAAAATGGTGCGACGGATAGCGTAACCCGTGTCCAAGGAACCCCACAAATGACGCTTAGCCTGCGTGTATCGGGCTTGGAGGTAGTTGATGTAGCCCTTCAGGCCAACGCCAGTACCCTCGACGTTACATTGGGAAGCCGGTGAGAAGATGGACTTGACAATGACATGACCCTCGGTCGCAAAGAAGCACTTGAGGTACATGTGCATGTCTTCTCCAATGGCTTCTGGTCCAGCGTCCCAGAAGTTGACGGAAACGGCGAGGTCCATGGAAACAGAGTAAGCTGAGCAAGGGATCTTGACCGCGGATGACGGGTACAAGTTGGAAATGACACCAATGGACCAGAACATGTCGGTCACGCGAACGAAGACGGGCACATTCTTCGAGTTGCTGCGATTTGAGAGAGATTGTGAGTTGAGTATGCCCAGTACAACGGGTGAGTTTCGAAACGTCAACCTTACCGGTCAAAAACGGTTGCGGGAGCGAACATCATAATCTTGCGCTGCTCGGGCGACGCAACGGCATAGTGGTAGGTGACAGCGCTGAAATAGTCCTCCGCAAAGCACGTGTCCGCATCCATAACCGTCAAGACCTCATGTTCATGCCGTGCACCGTAACCCCCACTCCTCAACGCCATCTGCGACGCCGACCAGGACACGTTGCTGGACTTCCCACGGATCTCACCGGGGCGACCGGCTGGGTGAACCGTGTAGGTGATCTCGTAGAAAGACTCGGCGTACATGCGCATCAAAGTTTGCGCCTTCTCTTCACATCCCTGTTCCGTTTCCTCCATCGCGAGGCATACTTTGTATTGGGACACTGCGCGGGTATGGCTCGCGAGAACGTCGAGAGTTTCGCAAAGGGTGTCCATTTCCTCCTTGTAGTTCGGAAGGATGATGACGTGGACAACGTGTTCGTAAGGGAGGTCGTGGCGAGTGTCATTACCGTCAACGGTGCCGGTGTCGTCGCAGTATTTTTGGAGCCAGTCCGTTACCGAGTACATTTTTGCGTTGTTGTAGCAAACGTACATGCCGTAAGCGGAACGGCAGTTGTTGAGAAGGAAGAGGAAGTGCAGGATGAAGTAGTAAATGCCAAAGGATGCCGGCAGGTAAACTGGCCCGAAGATGGCGAACGGAAGGAGCAGAAGAAGCCATGTTCCGGGTAACCGTTGGAAGATGGGCTTCCATGGAACGCGTGCAAGAACCTCCTGGGCTCCAGGTGGCAATTTGGGCATGGTGAGAGAGAAGGGTGTGGATTGGGTGTTGTTGATGAAATGAACTAATTTCTATGTGTATAAACAAAGTCTATCTGGAAGAAAGGGAAACAAGATGAGCGAAATGCAGGGAAAGGGGTGGAGTATTTGAGGTTTTTCAGAAACGTTTTCACACCTCTATGGCGACCGGGTAACGATTGGAGCGGTGTCGATGATACGCCTCTCCAAATAGTATACGCCTTTAGTGATGTCGCCTATTTTAAGCAGCAAAGGGAAGAAAGGGAGCAAGGGGTCAGCCGAAGAGAACAACATCGGGTGCTTGATCCAAAAATAGCGCACACAGACTCCGCTCCACTCCGCACGGCCATCTTATCTTGGCCACTGGCCAGTCCAGTCCAGTCCATGTCCCTCCCACCATCCCACCATCACAAGTAGATGTTATGTTAGTGAGTGCAAGGTGATTCGTACAATAAGCCTGAGCGGGTTGGTTTGCGCAAGGGCGGAAGGAATGAGGGGAGGAGAAGCGCGAGGCGTGTGAACGTTCGGTAAGGCAGATGGAAGTAACCAATGGCGACGGTGGGAGGGCCGATGCCGTCACAGAGAGAGAGTGTGTGTCCGGAGAGATGGGTAAATAGCAATGTGGGATGGGGGGTCGTCTTTTCCCACGGGGCGTTGTTTTTATTCAACTTGACACTCTCTGCTCTGTTCGTCTGCGCACCGAGAGAAAAAAGGAGGAAGAAGGCCGACGGGCGGTTCCGTTGGCAGAGAGGCAATTTGCTGGGTGTTGCATGTTGGAGGCGTGTTGTGGCCATAAGCGGGAGGTGTCTGTCATTTCATTCCATATCGGGGATCCGGGCTGTGCAAAAAAAGCTTGTACCCGGATGGCGCGGTCGTTCCCTCTTGGCGAAATTTTCAATTTCAAAATCCCCGAACTCGCGAAATGTCAAACGGGTGGCTCCCGCTCCCACGTCCGCTCCTTTGTCGGCCTTGGCAATGCCTGCGAAATGCTGAACAAACAAACAAAAATAGGAGACCCCCCACCGTCCTCAATTCGCCCTCAAACTGCCTCATGGCCTCCCCGCCTTCCAACCAAGTTCCGTTTCTCCAGTCTCATATGATTACATACACACCTCTATATTGCAAAGTGTAAAAGATAGTTCAGGCCAACCAAAGCATCGACACAGGAAGGAATTTGATTCGTCCGACGACAGGGAAGAAATCAAACGAGGAACGGAATTGCGCGGTGAATGCCTGAAGCGAGACCCTTTTTCTTTGCGACGGGGGAAAAGAGGGAGCACGAAGAATGATGAGGTTTATCTTTTTAAGAAGAGGATCCTGCCAGAAAGTTTGTGCGCTTTTTGTCCTTCACTCCTGGTGTCCCTGGTTGTTATCGCAACCTGCAAGCCAGCCCAAAATCGACTTCTCCTGCGGGCCCGAGGGGCCGCCCGTCCGCACGCACGTTTTGTCCCTTCTGCTCTTTTGGGATCCGCCACTCTTCAAAATTACCGTTTCGGCGCCACCTTCCTCAAAGACAGATGTCCACGTCCCAAACATGGTCGCGCCCGGTCACACAGGAATGAAAATTAACTTCGGATACCGTAGCGGATGTTTCCACTGAAGTTCCACAAAAAAATAAACTGCGTTGGCGGAACTGTAGTTACCGAGCGAGCCTACCAGGGGTCGAACCTGGAATCTCCTGATTCGTAGTCAGGCGCCGTATCCATTTGGCCATAGGCCCTCGCTATGGAACAGTTCTCACCGTAATTCTCTCCAAGAGGTGTACAAGTGCTCGCCATTTTATCCGGGTATGAAATCAGAGATCGCTGTTCATTCGGTGCCTGCTTGCTGTGCACCAGTTGGGTTCCCAAGTGGTTCCCAAGGGCAGGTTCGTTTGTCGTGCGAAAGTCGAAAGTTTACCAGCAAGCCACACGACCAGCCACGCGTCGCCGCGATCGCGCTTCACACCGGGCGGTTGCCAAGGTCTGAAGGGGTGAGTGGTGTTGGAATTTATGTTGCTGAATTTCAGGTCTCGGAGAAGTAATTTTTGTTAATTGCTCTTGGTTGGTCCATTCCAGAGACGTTCGGTACCGTATCGTTCTCGACATTCAGGGAAACGTAGGATCAGTTTAGATGGACCTTATTTAGTTCTAGTTGTTACATCTTTGATGCATGACAGGACTCCATCATTCCATGAGACTGATAATAGAATCACATTACATTTCCGGCAAACTAGTACTGAGATGATTTGCATTTGAAACTTGCTTTATTGAAATCACCCTCACCTTTTTGTCGAAAGAGAAAAAGAAAACACGCTATCTCCCTCCGCATCCCTCACCCTCCCGCGAAACGAAACAAATCGAATTTACAAGAAGAACAATGCCGCCGGAGCCCC